AAAAAAAAAAGAGCAGGCGCTCCTTTCGCGTGGCGTTGACGCGAGAAGCTGCACCGTGTCGCTGCTCAGAACATTGAATTAAAAATTCGTAAGGAGAGAGGAAAAGAGATAGAGAGAATAAAGTCGGAGGAAATCGAATAGGAGAAATTGTCAAATGTAAAGGACGAAGAAGGAGGAAACAACAGCAGCAGGAACAGTCAGCCCCGGTCGGCTTTTCGCGTTGCCATCGCGTACATAAGTGTTCGCGTTTTTCTAACCTAATAATACAGTTTTTTTTTTTTTCTTTTATGCGACAGCGTCCTAAGGATTAAGTTTTCAATAACGATATAGTAAATATATTACACGCACTCACACGCGTTTAAGAGGCAAATACAACACGTACGCACGCACGCACGCATTTAACACACGCAACAACAACAACAACAACAACACAGAAAAAGAGATAGGGATACGCTCGTTCTCGCTCGCGCCACATTCCTATTGCGAATATTATACTTTTCTCTCTTCTTTTTTCTTTTTTCATTTTTTTTCCATTTTCTTTTTCTCGTTTCACCATACACACACACATATATATATATATATATTTTTTGTTATTATTGTTAATTATTATTGCTCGTTTTGGGTGACATTGAAGCTTCGAGCTCGTGGGCGAGCGATCGATCGTGCGTATCCACACGCGTACGCTACTACTCACACACACATACACACACACACTCTCTCTCTCACACACACACACACATAAGCATTCAGGCACATTCTCACACATCATACGTACACGCATGCAGGCAGGCAGGCAGAGCACGCACGCACGTTACGTTACATTACGTTACGTTACGTTACGTTACGTTACGTTACGTTACGTTACGTTACGTTACATTACGTTAGGCGGGCCGTAAAATTAGCACACAGCGAGCGAGAGAGTCTTCTTGCGCGGCGGCATGAGGCTTTTTTCTTTTTTTTTTTTTGTTTCTTTTTTTTTCTTTTCTTTTCTTTTCTTCTTTCTTTCTTTCTTTCTTTATTGTTCTCTTAATGTGCGCGCAACAACGAGCTCGCGCGCGACGCCCCTCTTAAGGAACACCGCGAATCTCTATTACATTTTTTTTTCCTTTTCTCCTCCACTTATATAGTTAAGAGCAAAGAATTATATCGTGTCTCCCTCGATGTCCATTTTCACAAAAAACTTGTCATTTTTTTTTTTTTCTTGTTTGAATAAAAAACTAATTTGAGAATCCCTGTGTTTAATGGAGGAGAAGAGTTTTTTTTAGAACCGTTGAATCCGTTTGTCGCTTCGTTCAAAAAGGGAGAGGTAGAGGGATGGAGGGATGGAGAGAGGGAGGGAGGGAGGGGGAGAGAGAGAGAGAGAGACCGCTCGGTGGGAACGAACGCACGTGCGCTTACCTACGATCGCCATAGCGATTTTTCATTTTCTTTTCTTTTCTTTTCTTTTCTGTTCTCGTTTTTTTTTTTTTCTTCTTTTTTCGGCTAGCGCGTGCCAAACTCTCCGCGCGAAGAAACGAGGCGCGTGCGCGCGCGCGAGAGACTGCCGCGATGATTTAAAGCGCGACGAGAGTTCATCGACTCTTTCTCGCATGCTTCGTCTCTGATTTACTCCTACTTGCCCTAAATGGGTTCAGTCGGGGGGCAAAAGAGGAGTTTCGGAGTCGCGCGAATAATTATTATTGGAGATCGGAGTCGTTGAAGTCGTCCTACATAATTTTTTTTTTCTTTTTTCTTTTTTCTTTTTTTCTTTTTTCCATTTCATATTTTCATTTCTCCTCATATCTTTGCCTTTATCATATTTTCATTCTCACCTACGTAAATCGAGACGCGGCTTCGCGCGACCCAAGTCGCGGCTCTTATAAGCTTAATCATATATATATAAATATATATATATATATATATATATATATATATATATATATATATTCTCGAAGTCGCGGTGTTTCCGTGTTTCGCCGATTTTTCCTGAAGAATCATACCGAACATGATCATTTAAAGGGAAACAAAAAAGGGGCGCCAAAGCGACGTACGTGAGCTGTTCGTTCGGTAGATTAATCTCAGGTAACTCACGGAGGTACGGTGTGTATGTGTGTGTGTATTTTTTTCTGTGTATAATCGTCATGTATATGTGTGTCTGTGTGTGTGTGTGTATGCGTATTCCTTATATCTTCGTGTAATATGTCTGTGATATTTTATGTGTAAGGCTAGCTTTTATATGTATTATATTGTGTACGCGGTTTCGTTCGTTCGTATGTGTGTGTGTATGTGTGTGTGTTTGCATGTGCGAATTAAGGAGGCAGTCTTGATCGGCGAGCCAACGCTTTTCCGGCTCAATACTTGCTGGCCTCGACGAGTAGACGACTCTCGTGCCGTCTTCGTGGCATCGCCGAGTGTTCCTCTTCGTCCTGTCGCATCTTCCAACGATTCGAGTGCCGATGACGATGCGTCGTCGTGTGCCCCGCTGGATGTTGCTGTTGCTGTTGCTGCTGCTGTTGTTGTTGTTGTTGTTGTTGTTGCTGATGATGATGGTGCTGTTGCTGCCTCGCACCATTACTGTCGGCTTGTATCAGCGAGTTCTTCGTCGCCCTCATCGGTGAAGGCTTTCTCGATACCACGTAAGGTTCTCTCGGCTCCATACCACCCATATCCGCGTTCACCAAGTTGTTATGATGGTTTATGTCGGCGTGAGGATTGTATTTGATGAAGTTGAAACATTCCTGCCTACCATGGGGATTCTTCATCGGTTTGCCGAGCTTGTTGAAACCGAGGTATCGCGTACCATCGGCCACGCTTTTATACCTCAGGTACGAACCGTTGTATACCTCGTAGAACTGGCACATCGGACCCTTCTGTTTCTTCGGCTATAACAAGAAAAGGAAAGTATGAAGAAGAGGTAGTATCTTTTATAAATGATTAAACATTTAAACGTGACTATTTCAATGTTTTCTTTGTTCTAGTGATATAAGGTAAAACCTAATTGAAATCTTTATGTTCACAAAATAACAAAGAAGTTACGAGTAGTCTCATTGAAAATGATATTCGCTATACATATATATGAGATAAGCTAAAAGTTATTCGTATACGCGAATACGTGATATATTGTCGAGTCCGCGATGAAATATGTTCGATAATTGGAAGACAAGTAATTACCAGGCCGACGAGTTTCCATCGCTTGTTGAAGCAAATGTATCGCTGGCTTTTCTCCGCGAAGATGTACAGCTTCCTACTGAAGTCCTCGGACTGTGTCGTGAGCTTCTCTGTAAAAAGAAGGTGGAATAGGGCAAATAAAGAATCGTTGCTTTCGCAGAAGAGAGAAAAAAAGAGAGAAAGAGAAAGAGAAAGAGAGAGAGAGAGAGAGAGAGAGAGAGAGAGAAAGAGAGAAGGAGAGAAAGAAAGATAGAAAGAGATTTTGCGGTGCGTCCTTCGAAACGATACACGCGGCAAATGCGAGAGGACAAAGCGAACTCGCTGATGGTGGCCGACTCGAGATGTCTTTCGTGGCATCGGTATGCTGAAGCGTGTGAGCGTGCGCGCGCGCGCACTCACGCTGCTGGCACATTTCTTAGAAGCGAGACCACGAAAGAAAGAGAAAGAAAGAAAGAAAGAAAGAAGGAAAGAAAGAAAGAGAAAGAGTCCGTGGTTTATGGCGCGAGAGTCGTACTACCTACATCGAGGTACGCTAGCTCACTCGCTCCTACTGTCCCTCTTCTTCCTTCCAGGCACTCTTCGGCACCGTGGAAAGAAGAAAAGCGGCGGCCTGGCCGGTCGGTGCTAATGAAGGAGGCACAGACCGACCGGTGTGTGCTTTGCCACTTAGCGGACCCTGTCGTTCGTGCTTCGACCCCGAAGAGAGTGCACGTCCAACTCCGTACCCTCTGCACCTCTCTCGCTTTTTCTCTCGTACGATCTTTTCTTTTCTATATCCAAACCCTTCTTTCTTGTCTCACTGTCTCTTTCTTGTATTATTACGAAATATACCGTCGTCCAAGAATCTTCTTTTGTTCCGATCAAGGTAAAAAGGATAAAAGGAGTTTTACAGGTGCAACAACGAAATCCCGGAAGACCTGAGCTTTCTCAAGCTTTATAACTTCTTCTGAGAAGACAAGAGAGAGAGAGAGAGAGAGAGAATATACGTTGGGTGGTCCATTTGTTCATGGTTTAAATTCGTTTACATTTTTGGCACCGAAGTATCACGTATCATTTGAAACTGTCTCTTAAAGTTATTTACGTTCGTTCAAAAATCTCTAAATTCAGTTTCATTTTCGTTAATTAACCCCTTCGAAAAATTTAATACGTTTCTTTCGATCGATCCATTGGATTAATCCGAGAGAATTTTCTTTTAGAAAAATGGAAGAATGGTAATATGTATGTTATGTATCCATGTAGAAATCGGGATATATGAAATTGACAATATCTTGAAATAGTTCACTGCTACATCGCAAGACATTACAATACCGGTAAGTGTTTGGAATTCTTCCATGTATGTCCTGCGGTTTTCGATATCGACTTTGAAGTAGTGCCAAGAGGTTCTAAATACCAAAAATCAAAGACCCTTTTTCCTCGTTCGGTTAGCCTCGATACTCGTATATTAAAATTCTAAAAATAAGGATTAACGAGTTTCGATTTAATTTCTAGAAATTGCGAGGACTTTTCGAGAAGAATTTTTGCGACGGGGAACATGACCGAAGAATTTCTTCGTCGTGCTAAAAGAAAGAAAGAAAGAAAGAAAAAAGAAAGAGGGAGAAGGACCGAGAGACTCTCTCTCTCTCCTTCTCTCTTTTGCACTCTCGAAAACTCCACCCCCGTCTCCTTACTGCTTCTGCCCTCTGATCGAAGCCGCCAGGAGATTAGAGGCTGCCAAATGAATTAAAAGGCAATTTTAATCAAAAGCGGGCACCGGCTTTTAGGCACGATTACCCCCGATAATAACCGGTGGGATGGGCCAGCATTCTCATACGAGGAAAAGACCGAGACGAGGAGAGGGAGAGAAGAATGGATCCCATATATTACTTCTACGTGCTTCTCGCGATACGGGAACCGATTTGCCGGTTGGTTATAGGTTCGCAACTGACCCGCACCCTCGAATGAGAACGACGGCCGAGTTCTTTCAACCCTTCGACATCGAAGAAAGGCTCGAAACCCGTCCAAATATTCTTTGCCAGAGTTTTATGTATGTATACGAGTGGTTTCTTTCTCAAAAACAATATATATAATAGGGATGATTTAAACGATTGCTTTTTCCTGAATACGAGGGTACCATTGAGAACCACTGGACCGCCACAATTTCGCGGCGTCGGCGTTATGAAAGCTATAATACAACGCGATATAGCCGGTATACCAAACGCGTAAGCAGAAGAGAAGATGGAGGAGAAGATGAAGAAGAAGAAGAAGAAGAAGGAAAGAAGAAAAGAAGAAAAGACGCGTATAGCCACAGCTCTTGTTACGAGGGCGCATGTATAATAGCGACCCTGTCATTAACACCTAAACGCACGATTGGTCGATGTGCAACGGCATCGTCCTTCTTGACCAGGAGCAGAGAGTACATACATATACCTACACGGTGTACAAACTGGTAAAAGAAAAGAGAGAGAGAGAGAGAGAGAGAGAGAGAGAGAGAGAGGCGTCCCGGCTCAGATCAAAGGTGCGACAGCTGAAGTCTGGTTTACCGGGTTGACGCGCTAATCACAGCTCGCTAAGACTAAAATAATTAAACTCCAGGTCGGACGAGTGCTGTCTACGCTTGGAATCCTTCCTCTTTCACTATCTCCCAATCCGTATTTTAGTCCTATCCGGTCCGTACGTCCGCGTCCATCCGTCTTTTCCTGACACCCCGTCGGAAAAGTTGGCTCGCGCAAAATTCTTTAAACCTGATCTTCTCCACTGTGTCCTCACGGACGGGTATGTTAATCGATCTTACCAGCTGTCGTAGCAAGAGAAAAAAGAAGCAAAAAAAAAAAAGAAAAGAAAAGAAAAGAAAGAAAGAAGAAAAAGAAGGAACATTATAGAAAGGAAAATGCGTTCCCTTCCTCGTATTCTTTCGAGCAACTCCAACCAACGTTCCTTCGAGACCGTTTTAGATAGCTTAGGAACGCCCCATCCGATCACTCGGGGTGGTCGTCGAATAACTTCGACTCGATTCGTAAGTCGAGATTCGAACAATGAAGACAACCAATTAGTGGCTCTATCGCTTCCACACGATGGAATGGAGCCTCTCTTAATCGGGACTCGTTGAATAGACACAATCTCTCTTTCTAACAGGTAGTATCTCTTCGAGTTCAGGATCAGAGATATATTTCTTTTTCTTTTTTGTTTTTTCTTTTTCTTCCCTTTGTCCTTTTGCTTTTTCGATTCGTATAATTAAAGGACAAAATGATTATTAAAGCCACAAAACGAATGAATTTGAAGAGTTGATTTTTTTTTTCTTTTTTTTTTTTTTTTTTTCTTGTTTTAGCTTAAAAATCTTCTCGACGAACTTTTTAAAGGAAGATCAATTATTTCTCTCGTGCTTTCCGTACGAGGAAGTTTTCGTAGTGATCTACGATAGAAAAAAAAAAAAAAAATGACTGGGACGGCCCTTTGAGATTAATGTGGAAACGTGATCGTAAAAAAGACTTGCGGCACCTACTCTTACGTCGCGGTAAACGACCACGGAAACTATACTCGAACGACCGCAGGCACGCATCCGCTTTCGCCGATACAACAACAACTATAACGAAAGAAAAGAAAGAGAGAGAAAAAAAGATATAAATGGCACTCAACAACATTGATTTCTTTTATAAATCAAACGATCCCTATGTCTTCGTAATAATAATAATAATAATAATAATAATAATAATAATAATAATAATAATAATAATAATAATAATAATAATAATAATAATAATAATATTAAAAAAAAAAAAGAACTGACTCGAACGAGTTAAATAGTGAATGACATCGATTCCAAACATTACGTAGAACAATGTCTTATCTTCCATAAAGTCACTGTCATTCATCCGATGACGTTCTCTCTTCCGGAGCTTATATCGAGCTCGTCCGACGTTCCTTCTAAGGTAAATCGATACCACCGGGCTGTCTTTAGCACGGAGAGAAAACTGATGCCAGCTTGGCGATGAACGGACGGTGACTCATATGTCGTTACGATGACGAAGATCAACGTCTACACTATATTCCTACTATATGATTCTATCGTGTAAACTGTATCGTTCTACTAGTATATCTACTATTGAACTTCTCTTATCAAATGAGACAAAAGAATAATAATAATAATCATAATAATAATAATAATAAAATAAATAAATAAATAAACAAAAAGAAATAAGGGATAAATGAAATAAAAAGGAGAAGAAACAAAGAGAGAGAGAGAGAGAGAGAGAGAGAGAGAGAAACAATTGGAATGCAAAATTGAGAAAGGATCCCACGGTACGTCACGATTCTCTCATTCCGTTCCGTAAGAGAAGCAACACTGTTGTCGGCGAGAGATAGAAAGAGAGAGACAGAGAGATAGATATATATATATATATATAGAGAGAGAGAGAGAGAGAGAAAGAGAAAGGCTTAACGGGAAAGAAGGTGGAGAGAAGTAGGTGGTAGAGGAGGAGACGAAAGAACGTGATGGATCTCGGGGAGGTGCAGACGCGGCGTAGCGTGCGGCGCGAAAACTGGCTCTTCTGTTTACACAAGCCTTCAACTTCTTCCCTCCTCCTCTCAGTTCTTTCTCTCTTGCCATCTCTCTCTGTCTCTCTCTGTCTCTCTCTCTCTCTCTCTATCTCTATCTCTCTCTTAACACGGAGTCCGCGGAGGGCGGACGGTTCTGCCGTTCTTCTCTCCTCCTTCACTTTCACATGCACGCCAAGAAACGGTTCTCGAGATTGCATTGGAATCGAGAACGCTCCTCTCCGAGCATAATATACTGACTAAGGAAAGACAAGACATCTTGGTATTTCGACGTGAGAGAATTCAGGAAGATAACGATGATAATCGATTTTCATTCGATACAAGTAACATCGTATCGATTCTGAACAGGGAATGAATGAGCGTTATCTCCTTGTTGTTTTTTTTTTCTTTTTTTTTTTCTTTTTTTTTTCTTTTTTTACCAAAAGGAGACCACGTAGAACGATGAAAAAAAAAAAGAAAAAAGCTCGAGGAAAAGGAGAAAATAAAAGGAAGGATAAAGAGAGAAGGGAAGAAAAGAAAGAAAGAAAAAAAAACAAAAAAGAAGAAGAAGAAGAAGAAGAAGAAAAGAAGAAACACATTCCGGGAAACGATTCTACGCCGTGGTTATTTCTATCGATGGTCATTCGTAAAGGATAAGTTTTGACATTTACGAGTAATCAATTCGCGATAAAGATACGCTTTTTCCAAATGCTTGTCGTCCCAAACGATCTAGGTAACTCTTTCTTTTTTCCTCCGTTTAAAAGAAAAAAAAGAGAGAGAGAGAAAGAGAGAGAAAGATCAGAGTCACGGATTCTATGAGTCCAACGAACGTGAATTACGACGAAGGAAAAGCGGCATATTCTCGAATGCCGGTCAATAAATAACACTCCTTCGAAAAGAAAAAGAATGAATGCGATAGAGAGAGAGAGAGAGAGAGAGAGAGAGAGAGAGAGAGAGAGAGAGAGAGAGAGAGAGAGAGAGAGAAAAGAGAGAGTTAGACGTAAACAGTGTCTAGTCGAAAACAATAGCGACTAGACCGATTTAAAAGGAGCATCGTTACTCATCTCGACTTTGGCTCTTTAAAAATTATTACTCCCTTCCTTTAAAGAGTACGATCTCTTCGTCTCTGTCTTCTCTTCGCGAGAGGAAAAGGGCGCTGCCCTTTTTCCATTCTATCAAAGAAGATGACTGCCCTCTTCTCGGTGTTATTAGCAAAGATGAGATTTCTCTGACGCGGATCATCGCGGATCCTTATCTCGTTAATTTTTCCTTTTTCTTTTTCTTATCCGACGTCTTGTATCGCTTCGAAGAAATTACGAAAAAAAAAAAAAATAAAAATAAAAAGGGAGAGACAGAGCAGGGAGGGAGGGAGGGGGGAGGGAGGGAGAAACGAAATACGTTGATTCACTTTAACTCGATCGACGTGAATTATCATTCTTATTCCATGTAAGAAATAAAGATCTTTCGGGTGTATTCGAAGAATTCGAATTTGTTCTTTTAAATCTTGAGAATCGATACCACATGCTCCGTCCGATACTATCTTTGGTTATTAGCTCGTAAAAGCTACGCTTTGGGACGAACAAGAGAAAGGGGTAGATAAAGGATAAGAGGGATAAAGAGCTACTCTCTCTCTCTCTCTCTCTCTCTCTCTCTCTTTCGCTTATGCTCTCTCTTTCTTGGTAGCCAAAAGAGAGAGAGAGAGAGAGAGAGAGAGAGAGAGAGAGAGAGAGAGAGAGAGAGAGAGAGAAAGAGAGAGACAGACAGAAGAAAATATAAGTCCTCGACCCGAGCTCGAATCGATAAGAATCGCAGTAAATTAAGATCTTTAATGCCGGCGATCGTCGACGTTTAAACTCCTTCTCTTCGTCAGCCCTTCGAAAAAATTTTACGGAACCATCGATTCGTAAGATAAACTCCCTCATTCCCTCTTGCTACCTCGAAACTTTCGATTGGATTCGATTAACTAATCATACGATAGCCACACGCATGCATGTGCTTCATCTCACTTTGAAATCTATAATCATTATAATAAATTGATGAATTTATTATTATTATTATTATTATTATTATTATTATTATTATTATTATTATTATTATTATTATTATTATTATTATTATTATTATTATAAGAATATTAGTAATATTGAAATAAATTTGTTCGTTTAGTACGCTAACATTATTGATTATTTTTGAAATAAAATTAACGATCCGAATCACTGAATGTTAAATAAGAGGAAAGAAAAAAAAAAGAACAAGAAGAAGAAGAAAAAAGAAAAGAGGAAAAAAGAAGAATACAAGTTTCTTTCCTCTTCTTTTTTTTTTTTTTTTTCTTCGTCACAATCGTTTATTAAGCCGCACCGTCATTAACGAAAGAAATCGTTAGAGGAAGATGTTAGTCGAAAGAAAAAGGTTGAAAAGATGAAAAGCTTCCACTTACGGTAGGGTGCATTGTCATCGCTGCGTCCCACGGCCTTGATCGAGCGGCCCATTACGGTAACATTGCCGCTGCTGCAAGTCGAGTAGAGACTCACGGAGCGCACCATCGCCGGTACCGCCCCGCACATCACCACCTGCAATTACAAAAGGGTACTCTTATGTCTTTCGAAAGCGAATAATCCCATCGTGGAAGGGCACTCCGAGGTAACAACACTTCGAGATAAACACAGGAGAACTATATTTTATTACTATTAAGCGCGTGCCGATAACTATAAACGTCATTATCTAACTTACATTTATCCTTCGTTTATTTCTGAAACATTACAAATCTATATAATAAAATTGTCCGCTTGATATAAATTAAAGATGAGAATAATTTTATTCATTTAAAATTATTTTAAGAAATATTGTATAACTTTTAAGGATCTACAAGAATAAACGTTCTAAGTCGTTAAAATATATTGGCGAACCTTGGCCGTTTATTTTACGCGAACGAACAACGTACATTTATACGATCTCTTAGTTGAGAGACATCAGTTCGTCGACTCTTCTTCGTCTTTCTGGTTCCTTGTACGGATTCGAAGACGCTTAGACCGAGCAAATAACCGTCCATGTCCGAGGAAAAAGAAGAAAAGTAGAATGGGGAGGATCGTTAACGAGCAGACACGAGCCGTCCATTAATGGCACTTCTGATAATCACCTTTCGTTTATTTCAAAACTGGCGCCATAACAATGTTATGAGGCCAACCGGCCCGCCATACGGCACTTCGTTCCATCTAATTAACCAAATTGAAAGTACCTCGTGGCTTGTTGCAATGCGAATAAAACAACGTTATATTGTTTTGCTTCTAAACGTCAGAGAAGATGTGCGTTTTAATGCGAAGAAGAAAAAAGAGGAGGAAAGGAAACAAAAGAAAAAAAAAAAAGAAAAAAAAGAAAAAAAATGAAAAAAAAAAGAACGGCATTACAAATTGCGAATTCTTAAAGGCCGACGTGTAAACTTTTAATTTTATTGATATTCTATGATTCTCTGAATAAATATGACATTCACGGTGAGAGAAAAATTTCTTTTATTTTCTTTTTCTTTTTTTTCTGTTCTTTTTTTTTTTTTTTTTTTCCTTTCTTTTTCAAACATTTCTCTTAACTCTCAAAGATCCTTGACATAAAAGTCCAATGGTATATCGTGAAGCTAAACACTTCGCTATTACTTTCGATCATTTATCTTATTAAATCGTCCCCGTTATTTATTCTCCTCCACCGAATTATCCATATAGGGAAGTTTCAAATCGAATCGTAAATCTTGATACAGTCGACCGAAAGGAAGATAAGAACGATTCAGGTGGTTTTCCAATCGTTATATCGATGCTTTTAATGGAGAAACATTGCATTTCTCGCGAGTATTACGAGATAAAGAATGAAAGAAAGAAAGAAGGATAGAAAGGATGAAAGAAAGAAAGAAAGAAAAAAAGATAAAGAGAGAGAGAGAGAGAGAGAGAGAAATAATAAGACGAGAGAAGACGAAAAGATATGAGAACGTGGCGCGCGCACAAGAGCGCGAAATTAAAGGTACAAGGGAAGGTATAAGAGAGGTGAGGAAGTATAGAAAGTGGGAGCTCAAAGGCGGCAAGGAGCGCGCGAGCCCGTCGATATAAATCGTCGGCGTTGTAAACGCGTAGGAGTGGAAGCACCGATCATTAATCTATGGCAGGTAAGGTGCACGCCGACGTAATCGTCGATTTACTAAGTCCTGGCACGACTTCCAACACGCGATACTCTCCTTCATTCTCTCTCTCTTTATCTTCTATTCGTAACATGAATTCCATCCTCTCTTTCTTACACGAAGAAGGATATCTCTGATCTGACCCGGTCATCGAACAGACTACGGGAGCCACCGCCAAAGAGAAGAAGTAAAGAGAAACGAACTACTACTATCGGTTTGGTTTATACATATAAATACATAAATACACATATGTATATTATACTTACATATGTATATATGTATCATTGTTTCTCTGTGAGACAGATAAGAAAGAAAAGTACAGAGTGTGCCAGCTTACAAAAAAAAAGAAAAAAAGAAAAAGAAAAAAAAAAAAAGAAAGCAGAACGAAATACAAACGACACGAGTCCAATATGAGTTTTCTCGCGAAACTTTGCGTGTCCATTGACTAAAACATTCGAATTCGATTTTATGGCTGATACTCCGATGAAATTCTATCGACGGTATTAACTATCGTTTACTATATCTCTAACTATAAAAAAATGATCTATAAAAAGTTTCGTATTTGAAGATATCGGAAAAAATTAATTTCACGTATCTCTCTGATAGCTAAGAGAATAGTATTATATAAAATATGTAACTTACCATCAGGAGGCACAAAATCTTCGCTAAAACGGCAAGCTGTGGTAAC